CTGTTTAACACAAACTCAGGAGAAAGTAAGTGTAAACATCAACAATTCAACATAATTGACAGCTACTTCCATTTGCTCAGTCCAATCCCTCCATCTTGACTCTGTTCTTCCAAAACCATTTCCTCTTTTAATTATCCCTCACAAAAAAAAAACAAAAAAAAGAAGGAGCACATCAGACGCATCGCGGCAAATCCCAGGCCTGGCACGGCCTCACAGTGGCTGCTGCGTCTGGCAGTCCCGATAGAGTTTGCGCGCTGGCAGTGACAAGTGAAGAAGAGGGTCTCCTGGAGATTTTCTGACGGGAAGAATTGAGAGGATGATCTCTCAGCAAAGAAAGAGGTCCTCATTCTCCTCCCGGCGTGGCAGGCCTTTTTTTTTGGCAAGCACTTTCCCATCATACCACATTTTCAGCTACCAGATTAACCAGCTCTCAGGAGCACAGCTCACACACAGACCCCCTTGTTTACACCTCAGTAGCATAATGTTTTTTGTAATGACTGCTCTGTAAAAGGGCATACTGCAGGCATTGCAAGTGCAGCTGCTCTCCTATCTTCCCCCACAACATTTTAGAGGTGAGACCTGTTGTGTATAGCTGGGACAGAGAAAGCATGATTTAGATTAAGGGAATTGGAAGTCTTTTATATTGAAAGAAGTCTCCTCTAACCTGAAATTTGTTTTACTGAGTACATTTCACATTCTAATTACATATCACTAAGCCCAATGGATTTTCTTTTGGCAGGCTGGATGTTACTGCTCTAGTTGCTTTTTGTCAAAGTTTCTTCCCTCTCCGTGGGGTGCACATCAATCACCAGCAGCCATTCCGCAGGCTAACAGTGGCGTCATCTCCCACGCGATTACACCCAATTCACTGTGAGATCCTCGGACACAGTGGAGCTACAAATAGCCCATTGCTCTTCTCCCTTTGCTCCTTTCCCTCTCTTCCATCATCCTGAACTGAAGAGTGGAATGCTCCCACAGCGGGTAGCTTTCTTCTCCTCCTGAGGGGAACTGAGAAAGCAGGCAAGGGCCTCTGTGATGTCAGTTTCCCTTCAGGGTGGGGAGGAGACGTCTTGTAGTGCTGCTAAAGATGATCGTTTGAGATCCTAAGAAACAAGGCCTCCTTTCTCTGGGAGCTGCATGAGCATAGTGGGAGTTGGGTTAGCTGATACTCCTACATGATGCAAATTATAACAGCGATGGTGGTAAGTGTGGCAATCTTTCCCCTTACCAAGACCTTTTATTGCAACCAAGTTTTATCCTTATCTCTGTCAGAATGCTAAAGGTCAGACCTGGTGAAGTTCAGCTCAAAGAGGCAACAATTTTCTTTACCTAAAGTTTTGGAGCTAAGGGCTGGCCTTAAGTTGACTGGCCCCCAGAACAGAATTTGATTGGGGGGTACATGCAACATACAACTTGTGGCTGTGAACTTGTGTCAGTGAAGTGTTGGTTTAGGGGATTTTGAGTTGTTATGAGAGTCTGACAAACAAGGCCTCCTACCAGGTTCAGCTGTTGGACAACTGGGACTGCTTGCTGCCACATTTACTTCTTTGCTCTGGCATTTACTTCAGGTTTACCAAGACTAAATACAAACTCAATGGAGTTTGGAAAAATTAGGCCAATTTTAATATGATGGGCTTAGAGGAATATTATGAAAATTTACCATGCTTCTATTAGCCATCTGTTATAGCTAGCAACAATCCTAAACTGTTCACTATTCTTTGTGAAATTATTGTAACCCAGCCTGATTTTAATGTTTTAGAGCCTTTGGGGCGACAGTGGCGTTGGATGTAGGAGTTTGCCCTGAAATCAAAGAGTTGACGGTTCAAGCCCCG